TTTTTTTCCCTTGTTGTTCTACAGAGGTAATTTGTTAGGATTTGGTGCAGACTCTTCAAAATCAATGCTGATGATAGCGGATTGATGTCTCAGTGCTAGAAGAATTCATTCCTTCTTGGGTTTGAATTTTCCTTAAAAGGAAGGAGGACTATCCCAGATACTCGTAGGTGAGCCGTTCTCAAAGTAGTTTACCATCGGTATGAGGACCTCCACTTCTTTCCATTTTTTTTTTGCTCTGTTGGGACAGGTGTGCTGGGCTAGATGCAGGATCCCAGTTCCCTCCCCTGCAGAAATTGCCTGTTGGCAATTCCCAAGCAGCAAACATCTGCTCCGTGCTGCCCACGCGGTGCAGGTAAGGTAGGTCTGGCATCCCAGAGAGCTGGGACCCCTCCCTGCAGGTGCTGTGGGAAGGGCTGCAGGAGGGCAGGAGTCTGCCTGCTGCTGGATGTCCTTCATTCTCAGGTGCTGTCAGGGTCTGTCTGGCCCAAAACAGTGCTGCATGTCTGCGTCTAAGCAAACTTTGCTGCATAACTTCTGCTTGACTGGGAAGATAAAAATAATCCCTGGCATAAATCAACTTCATTCTGCCTCAGGATATAATTTAAATACCTTCTCCTGGGTGTTCTCTCCCTCTTTGTAAAAGCAGCAAGTTCACTTTCTAGCCTTCACACTCTAACCATAGAAAATGGTTAATGAGGGGCTCTGCCACTGAAGGTAGAGATGTCACTGCAGGAGGATGCTGCAGCAGCAACCAGAACACAGTGACAGGAGACAGACAGGCCTAGGGAGACTCTTAAGTATTTCCAAGATTGTAGGGCCAAAGTGTTTCCAGGAAAGGTGTAGCAGGACCTTTCCTAAGGGAAGTAAGGGAGATAATGAATGAACCGCTGCTTGTCTCCATTCAGAAACCCACTTGAAGATGCATGGAGTTACAGATGTGAATACTGTCCCATGGGTATCCTCTCTACACATGTGGTGGGGTTTTATTCTTGTTTGCTGTATTTTAAAGAATAGTCAATAGGTTTGGGCGAAAATCTTCATCAGGAAGTTGATACTATGGGTGGTGAAAAATTACTACTAAGACCTAGCTTGTGTGATCAAAACAGCTAATAAGGGTTTGCAGTGTGAAGAGGCAAAAATGAGCAAAAAGAGAGGGGAAGGGTTGTGTGCCAGTGTGGCTTTACAGTTGGAGAAGGGGCCAAGCCTTGATTCTGCAAAGAATGAAGGCAGAACCTGATTTTTAGCATTTCTAAATGTGTACATTTGAACATATTCTGTTTGATCCTGGCAATGCTTTGTGCCTACGCACTTCTAATTTTAACTGTTCTCTTTTTTTTTTTTACTATAAAAGAGTGGGACTGTTATAGGCTCTCTTCACATTGCTTTACTTAACTACAGTGCAGTGTCTGCATTCCCAGCACAACAGCAGATTTTCAGTTTGTGCATAGGTATGTGTTTTGTAGTTGTTTTCCTCTGCCAACTGAACATGCAGCTGTTCAGCACACATCTAGCACTGAGAGAAACAAGCAGCAGCAGATCTACCTCCATTGACTGGCTGTATGTTCTCCAGTACAGAATAACAGGGTTATTACGTGGCTCCAAAGTAGAAGCCTTAGCCTAGAAGTGATATTTCACTGGCGTTGGACTGAAAACACAGGTGTAATCAATCATAAAACTAGCAGGACTGTTTCTGGATGTCTGTTATTCAGTCTTCATATCAAACCCCTGTCCAGCAAAAGCAGAGCACGGGGGTGATGCTTTTCCATAGGATAACCTTTAAGGCAAGTTCTAACAGTCAAGAAGGAAATAATTAAAAACAGTACATTGGCGCTGCTTGACACTGTCCGATGTCTTGGTGGTAGTTTGAATTTAATGATGGGAGTTCCGAGAGGTTTACTCGTCATATATGCCTCGACGCGCTCTAGTGGCAGAAACTCGCAGTGCCGCTTAGGCGGCGCAGCTCCGGCCATTCACTTTTCTGCGTGAAGCAATAGTTACAGTGGATGAAAATAGAGTTGATAGCTATTGAATACAACCTAGCAGTTCCCAAAGTAGCGTTCAAGCTGTGTACTTTTATATAACTCGTATTTCTGTGTAAGTTTTCCAATATAAAGTGCTGACTCGGGGATTTCACCTGCCTGGTTTGGTCGGTGTTGAAGAACACACCCGGACCTCAGCAGCCACTGAAGTATGGGTGCAGCATGTAGGCAATATATCAAAGTGAACAGCAATTATCCACAAGTCCTTGGCACTTGTCCTGTAATGGTAATGGATACAGAGCCTGGGCAACCTCATCCTTTAACCAACCATCATTAAATGGTAAATCAATAACTGCATCAAAAATGTATTTATAGCTAAGCTCTAAACCTAGTGGTTTTGCTTATCACATTAATCATAAATAATTCACTGTTTCTTCTTCTCAGAAGACATAATGGGCCACTTATCTGCTTCAGTTGTTTTCATTTTTCCCCTTCACAGAGTTTGCTCTGTGGCAAAATCCCTCACGTAATACAGTAAAGTACTGAAATACATGCTTTATCATCACTGCAATTATAAAAATAGCCCTACCTATGAATAAGTATTTTGTCCAGGATCAGGAACTGCTGCAGTACTCTTATTTTGGCTGTGGGCTATTACTGACCCCCTATCTTTGCTGCTGTTACAACTTGTGTTGCAGTAGGTTGGAGTATCTTCTTGTCTTTCATTGCAGATTATATGTTATGCTTTACTTTGCTCAACCACTGAGCAACTTTCAAGTCTTGCTTTCTGGTTATCAGGATATCAAAGAGGAATGTAGATGGTACTGCCTCTTGCTGCTCTGCTCTGAGGCTTTTTAATTTCATTTTTTTAAAGAACTTTTTATATGGGCAAGTTGCTTCAATGACATTCTATCAAAAGTTCTGTCCAAATGCAAATAGTTTTGTGGGGAAAAATGCTCTTTTCTCAGCTCCTAAGAGCTGCTTGTTTTGGATTTAAGAGTAGTTTTTAAGCTAGTGTAACTCTTTCCTCACTACTGGAAAGACACTAACCCAAAATTACAGCTACACTGAACAAGCAAATGTCCTATTGAAGTCAATGGGAATATTGCCACTGAATTCAACCTTGGTTATTTTTGCATTCTTATTTGAACTGTCTTTTAAAATAGCATTTTCAGACACTATGTAACATCTGTGGTTATGTCATATACTTCTGTAATTATTAGGGATCAGATCAGCATTGGAGTTCTTGTTCCTTGTCCTGTTGCCAAGCTCCACAAGGACACAAGCTGTGAGTTAGGTTGAAGCTCTGAATTCTCTTTCCTTATGGATGGGCAGACGAGGCACATTCAATTCCAGGCATCTGTTATGCATTCATACGTATCTACATGCTGCCCTATTGGGGTAATACACTATTTTTTCTCACTGAACTTTAGTGACATGATTAGAAATGGAATAGCATTTACCATTCCCTGAGATCTGTGCTGTGTAGAGAACCATGCTCCAGGATGACATAACTGAGAGGGCCTGAATTTGACGAACAATGCACTGCCCAATAATTAAAGGCAATGCCATTCAATATATACTCCATGTACCCTGTAACTATTGCTTTACATTGCTGTCTGTTCCTTTTGGACTGGAATAATGCAAATAAAGAGGAAGCCAAGGCATGGGAAAAATAAATGAGATAACGATGGCTGAATGAGCATACAGAGAATACCATCTTGATAAAGTTCAGTTGCTGCACCCATTGAAGCAGCAGCAGTTAGCCTAATGCCTGGGCCTCGAAGAGCTGCTGCATGGAGATCACCTCCTGGCATTCACTGATGCAGTAATCACTGCTGAACGAATTGACTTTTGATGCTCCATCTTTCTATTTTAAACTGATGTCAGATGAGTGTATATTTTTGCATCTACTTCAGGCTGACATTAAAAATTAACGAACATCTGAGTATTGCATGCCAATGTCTTAAAAGTCCCTTGAGGGCATTCCTTAAGGGGAAGGGGCTTTTTTTTTTTTTTGACCATAGTCAGAGCAGAGGAGTCACAGTGTAGAATAATCTCACTGCAGAACAAGAAAATGTAACTAAGCTTATAACTCAACTGCTATTTTATGATCTCAGCTGCACTGAGGGCTTATGTCCTCTGCAGTGAAGTGAATATGATTGTCCTGCACTCAGAAACAGATCAGATTCCAAAATAATACAACCCTTTTTCACTACCAGATTAATAACCAACAGATTCTTCCTTTTTGTAGAAATTTTACTAACCACATTATCTATTATTTCTTCTCAAGTTGGAAAATGAAGCTTTCTTCTTTTTTCCTTGGATGGTAAAGAACTCATTTAAAAGCATCAGCAGAAAGATATTTGAGACTGTGAGAATCCAAGCTTTATATGGCTATGGTTCTTTTCTTTTACTTCAAGTTACTAATCTTAGGATGCTTATTTTGGAAGTCTTAAATAATTCCTCCTTCTACTTAAACAGTTTAGTTGCCTTGATGGAAAAGACAAGTCTGTGTTAAAATTCAGGAGATGCGTTATAAAAAATAATAGGAGATAAATTATAAAAGACACTGGGGTTATGAGGGAAGCCAGTGTATTGTAACCTAAAAACTGTGAAATGCCTCATTTATATTCCCACGCTTCTATGAAGTCACTAGATAGACAAACACATTATGCAGATAGCGAACTGGAGACAGAGGTTATGTGATGCCCAAGGCCATTCAATGAGTCAAAGCTGAGCCAGGGTGAAGTTCCCATTTTAGTGTGTCTATTAATAATACCAGCACAGACAAACTGCATGAAAGAAATAAATTTGAGGCTTGTGTGAGGTCACCCTGTTCTGCAGGGCTGAAATATTTGTTTATATCTAACTCTAAAGTGGTTAACTTACTAGATGTGAATATGACTAGATCACTGTCATTATCTGAAAGACTTCACGTACTTAATAGTAATAATCTGAGGCATTTGTCTCCTGCAAAGAAAATCATTTCATTTGAATCCTTTTTTTTTTTGCTTGCAGATTTTGAGGGCAGCTGAATACTGTCTGGCATCAAGAAAGACACAGTCACATCATGACATGTTCAGGGGTAAGTGTGAGACAGTGTTAGTAAGAGCAGAACTTTACCTACACTTGTTTTTTCTTTTTAAAAGTGATGTTTACATTTATTAAAGCATTGCTTTGTTCAGATATTACATTGAGTTTGTACACTTCAGCTTTCTGGTGGCTTTCATCTCTGATAGATGGTAGAGGAGATTATATTACATAGTGAGAAACAAGAATTGGGTTCTGCAAGTGTCCCTCATATATACTGGTGGTTTGTCTTATTGGCTTGGGCTTCCACTTTCAGGTGCCTTTCATAATGATTCTCCATGAGATTTCTTCTGTGATCATCACATGTAGTGAAGCCAGAGTCACTCAAGAATCTGTAAGATTAGAGAAATATCCAGTGGAGCTGACTGAAGAAGGGTTGACAGATGTGAGGGGAAAAATTAAGGAGTTGATTGCAGCTGAGCTTAACTGGAGCCAGTGTTTAGAAAGGCAAAAGATGGCACTGTAACAATCCAACCTGCTGACTGCAAAGCACTGCAACTGAATTCACAATCCTTTAATGACAATGGTTTGTTTTCCCAAATAGTTTTAAGCAATATTCTTTTTAAATGATTCAACTATGTCTTTATACGGGTAACATTTTAGAGTATTTAGCTTACCTATTTCGACAGTTTTTTTTATTTCACAGCAATAAATTATTTTAAATGCCAGAGATCCAGTCACTTCATCCAGTGGATTTATCTTTTCCACCTAGTTAAAATAAAATTGCCCAGTAACTGCAGATGAACTGCTTCTTGTCACTGTTGCTTTATGTAGCCTTGGACATGCCATCTTTAAATGCATCTCTTTGATATATTGTACTCACTATTGCTGCTGTGGCAGCTCACTGCCTTAAAATCTCAAGATAATATAAACACTTCAATATTGTGAAACTTGTAGTGACTGATTCCAATTTTAGGGCTTGGAATTTCAGTCATTAATCTTGCAAGGATATCTTGCAAAATTTAATTTATAAAGGACAGCCATCCATTTCTAAAGGCTAACTGCAAGATAAATGCTACTTAGAGCATTTTCTTGTTGGTATTGTAGCTTGTGGAAAAGACCTCTGAAGTACAGAAGTCTAACCTACTACAGTGTGCATGGCAGTTGTAGTATCTACACAGCAGCTGAGTTCTGATATTCTGGCGTGGTTTTGACAGAAAGCTCTGCTTTGGCATCAAGAAGTGAATCAGCCCAGGTCTATGCTATATTCTTTCATCCATGTGGCATTAAATATAATTTTGTTTTGGGGAAAAATGAAAATACATGCCTCAGGCTTTGTCTTCCCTCTCCAAAGTGAGGCAGCCTCGTGAAGTATGGGGTCAGTTTGGGTGTGGGTTGTTTTTTGTTTGTTTGGTTTTTTTTTGAGTGAAAGTGGAAAAATCATAGAATCATTAAGGTTGGAAAAGTCTAAGATCGTCTAGTCCAACATCCACTAATTGTGTTCCCTAGTACCACATCTACATGTTTCTTGAAAACCTACAGGGATAGTGACTCTACCACCTTCCTGGGAAGCCTGTGCCAATGCATCAACACTCTTTCCATGAATAAATTTTTCCTAATATTTGGCCTGAACCTCTCCTGGTGCAACTTTAGGCCATTCCCTCCAGTCCTACCCCTCACCTTGCCACAGCCTGCTTTCAGATACTCGTAGAGACCTATGAGGTCTCCCCTCATAGTCTCCAGACTAAATCCCAGCTCCCTCAGCCACTCCCCATAAGACTTGTTCTCCAGACCCCTCACCAGCTTTGTTGCCTTTCTCTGAATGTGTTTCAGGGTCTCAATGTCCCTCTTGTAGTGAGGGGCCCAAAACTGAACACAGCACTCAAGATGTGGCCTCACCAGAGCTGTAAACAGAGGGACAATTGCCTCCTTGCTCCTGCTGGCAACTATTCCTGATACAAGCCAGGATGCTATTGGCCTTTTTGGCCACCTGGGCACACTGCTGGCTCACATTCAGCTGAGTGTTGACCAGCACCCCCAGGTCCCTTTCCTCTGCACAGTCCTCCAGCTGCAGGCAGCTTTCCCAGGATAATGCTGTGGCAGATGTTAAAGCCTTTGCTGAAGTCTAGGTACTAGACTAGAGCTAAACTGTGCAGCCTCATAACATATTTCCCACGTTCTTCAGAATATCAATGAAAAACAAGTCTGTTCCCTTCATTCCTCCCTAACTCAAAGTGCTGGTTTCATCTGTATGAAAGAGGCTGAAATACAGATGCTATGAAAAAGAGCAGTGTGTACTGAAATAAATTATAGTACCTATCCATTAGTCCATACATTGCATCCAGGAATTGATTCTTTCCTCCCTTACATTAACAGGAATCCAGGGTATCAAAGTAACCTAGAAAACAGCCCTGCAGTGACTGTAGTGTTGATGCAATTTGCAGAAACAGACAGTGCTTGTAGTGATTAAATTGATCATGCTCTATCTTAAAAAAAAAAAAAAAAAAAAAAAAAAATGGAGAGCATGATCTTAGTGCTCTAGTATATTCGCCTAATTCTAGTTGTTATGGTTGACTTATGTCTTTCTTCTTGGGCTAGCATTGTCATACCTCTTGAATAATTAACCCTCCCGCTGGCATCTTTGTGAATAGCACTTCTAGCTCCAGTTCATTGTTAGGATACGTTTTCATCTTTCTGGAGCATGTGTGATCAGAATAATAGAATATTCTTAGTTAGGACTCACCAATACTTAAAGGATGTCGCCAGTCTATTCTGTCTCTAATGTAAAAGCACTGTTTGTTGCAGAGCTCCTCTCTATGAGATTATCTAAATTAAAACATAGTCCTTGATGAATTCTTGTGCCATTCACTTTTTGCTGAGTTTTCTCTTTCAATTCAGTCCCTCAACTACATCTAGTAGAATTATCCTGGTGCAAAGTAACAGCCAAGAAAATAAGACAGTTCCTTAAATTTAATGATGGGCTCATTCTCAGCCATCTCAGCGGGTCACTGCAGCCTAGAAATGTATGTCAGTGAACTGACTGAACGCTGAGACTTGTAGGCTATTTAGAGAGTAATGCAGAATCAATTAATCCTTTTCAAACTGATTTTTAAGCTAAAATTGGAAGCAGTAAAATGACAAGAAAACATTAGGTATAGAGAATATAAGAAATTACCATGGCTGTGCTTATAGTAACTGATTTTATAGCAACTGTAGTGTGTATCTGAGGATGTCATTAAACCTGGAGAGACTAAATCCTGTGATTATTCAAGTGAAGGACTAATTTTGCTTTACATTCACGTTCTGCCTTCAGAACAAGTTCTACTGTAAATCAGCATCTGTTCCGCTTTAGCCACTGCCCTTCCTTTCCTGATAGCCGTCAGCTCTTTGCATACACTTGTCTCTAGGCAAAGGCCATCAAGTATGAGTTATAGAGTGCCTCGCATCGTTGCTGCTGCTGAATTATAAATTAGTGCATTTATAGAGTCAGTTAATCTTCAGAGTCTTGTGTGTAGCTCGTTTAAAGTATACGCACACAACAATGCAGCATGGAGAGCTGCTGTCACCTTCCCTTAGATCTGTGCTTCTCGTGAACCCCGGGAGTCAGACAAGTTATCTGGTGCTCTAAGGGTGGGAGATGTCCTCTCAGCAGGAGAGAGTGTGCATGAGGAGAGGTGTGTGGTGTGACCTGCACCAGTGGGTGCTGCCTGCACAGCCTGAACGGTGGTGGTGGAAGAGCAGGAGGTGATTCCTGTCTGTTCTTTGACAGTCTTTCATCTGGTCCTGCCAGGGGGGCAGCGTCCATGATTTTGGGGACAGGGCCAGTACGCTGGAAGTGTGATCCCTGCCATGCGCCACAAGAAGCAGCCACTTCTGTTCATAGCAGAGGAAGGTGCTATTCGTGGTCCCAGCTTGAACACTTTGTATGAAAGGGCTATGCAAGATCCAGTGCAAAGCCAAAATGAATGTATTAGCTCAGTGTGAGTGTATCTTAATTTGGAACATCTGGAGAATTGTTAATGCCAGTGATTTATGTTCTTTATTGAATTAGAGAACTCTTACATGCAGCAGTTTGTTTAAAAAATAAGTTAATATATCCTAGAAGACATCAATTTCTTCATTATCCTGATTATTTTCTTTCCAACATTCATTGTCTTTCTAATAATATAGATTTTTTTGCAGTGGCATAATTTAGAATGGCATTTTCTAAAGTCATTCTAATTTCCAAACAAGTGACACATGAATAGTCTATCTGTAGAAGTATATGATTATAATGAGCTTTATGTTGCTAAATTCCTAAACATCAAATTCTGCCCAGACTTGTCCTGTCAGTAGAGCTTCGTTTCATTTAGCTTCTGTTTGTGCTGAACATAACTTTTTAGGCGAGAAATAAGGGATCCAGATCTACATGCGTGCCCTGTAGCTTGTCTGATGACATAGCAATTCCTCTATTAACAGTAAACAATCAAATGCTTTCCTAAGTTTGAGCAAAAACACATCCGACCATAATCACTGTTTTCTGCCTGCACTCTGTGAAACGCATAGTCTCAAGATTTCCTGCAAGCTGATTGCTAGCATTTGGGATTGAGTGCAAAATGGAACTGAGAACTAAAGGACTGATTCATCCATCTCATTAGGCTGATTTAGTATCATGACTTCAGTGGAAATGAGGCTGAGGTTTGCCAGTGGGAGGGGAGAGCCAGGCTCAGAGACCAGTCTGCTTTTCAGGGGGAACGTAGTATCTTAGAAACTGTCTACCAAAATTGATGAGGTGCTTTCTGAAGCACAAATATAATCTCCAGAGCTTGACTCTAAACCTACTAATAGCAACTGAAGTTTTCCTTTTGGCTTCTAGTGCTCTATATTCTGCATGACTGCTGAGTTGGTTTTTTTGTGTGTGTCTGCTTTGTTTTTGTTTTTAATTCTTCGGGTATCAACACATAACTTTTTCAGTGCTGAAAAATAAGCCTTAAATGAGAATCCGGTATCTGAATCTTTGTTGGTGAACATAAGATCTTCAATCCATTTGTGCATTTACAGCATTTCCCCCATCCC